TAATTTTCAAATTTATGATATGTTTTATTCTGCTTGTCCCATAATTATTTATGGAAATCCAATGTTATTAAACTGTAAAATCCACGGTTTTGAGTTATTTAAGAAACAAAAATTGTAAATGGCCTCCATTTTGTTTTATAAATTTTGAAAACTGTCATAATATTTGTGTAGATTTTTCTAGTTTTTATAAAAGTTTGTGCAAAGTTTCACTTTCGTATGTTTAGCCACTTTTAGAAAAATAAATTATAAAAAACAAAATGTCGTCTGTTTGAGTAACTTACGACTTCCGGGCTATTTAAATATTATGAAAATTAGATATGTTTCTTACCCAGGAACAATGCCCTAAAATATTGGTAGATAGTTCCGGGACACCCTTTATTTATACTATAAGGGATTATGATATTACGGGGTAACCGTATATCCCCTCGTGTTGTTTTATGCAGGTTTCAACATATTTTGGTTTATATTGGTGTTTATTGTATAATATAGAAAATAACTAATTTTAATTTCGTTGAGTCCAGGCAAGTTGTGCAAGATTGATAGCATAAGCAAAATTATGTTTGTAAAATCTTAGATTCTCGTGAATCGCCAATAACCTAACCTTATTTTCTTTTGTGAAATAAGACTAAAGTTATATTAATGCATTTATCTATATGCTCTCCAATCGTAATGTTGGCTACACTGTCAACCTCATAATTGAACGTCTCATGGCTCCATCTTTGAATAATTTACCGAAGTAACGAGTGAAAATACATCCTTTAGACATGATAGGTTTTTTTTTTTTTAAATATTATAGCTATAACCACTATGTGTCTATAAAGTTTAAAAAAATCAATCACCAGATGATGTCAGTAAAACACTCGCTTTTGTGGAGCAAAGAGAGAATTTACTGCCTGTAACGTTGGTAACGCTCACTACAGCTGATCAACAATAGCTATAACACGACACTGATTTGATCTACATGTATCTGATACGATAGTCATCCTGTTACTGATCTATATCTCTAGGTACGTGTGTTAAAGTAGCGGATAGTGTTTATTATACAATACTAATAATTTCATAACTACCAGGTTAACAGAATAGTATACAGAGCCACCCGCACCTACGAAATGTTCTAGGGTTTTGAAAATGCACAGTATTTATATGTAATTTGTACTTAAATTCGGAGTTTAGTAGTTGGTGTCTAAATTGTGTTTTAAATTGCTTATTGGTTAATTTTTTCCTGTAAATAAGTTATAATTTAAAATGGAAGAATTATTTTATCTTAGATGTAAAATCTATCAAAGTAAACCATTTTAAGCTTTTGGCTCTTAAAATTTTAAAATGTATCCATCACTTAAACAGCAATAATAAACTAAAGATATATTTTAAGTTTTGTGTCTATGTGTAGATCAAACTAAGTAATGTAACCATTTAGTTGGGGTTTTTATTAAACTAAATAAAAACAAAAAGTATTGCCTATCATTGAAGGTAACACATTTCGGCAATCTATGTTGAAATATTCAGACCAAATGTTGTTTAATAAACTTAGTCCTGTCACAGTACAAATTTTCCGTGTATTCCGTGTGGTATTCTTAAACTACTTATTCCTGATAACGTTCTTTCAATCACATAAGTAGACGGTTTCATTATTTAACTCAAAACAATATAAACCCCACAATTTCACAATGACATCTCAAACGTGACGAAGATTCCTGAAAAGATTGACTGGTCTGACAAGACGGCAGCTGCTGCTGAGAAGATACGTCATGCGTGTTGGAAGAAAAATCGGACCGGATTATTAGTTTTTGTCACCGGCGTCATATGCAAATGACACCCCAATATGAACAGCGCAGCTGCATGGTGTCATAGTCTGGGCCTGCCCCTCAACAGGGGTAGGCCCTATGCTAATATGAGGTAGATAGACGCGCCACACGCATTATTGACGTACAGTGAAAATTTGACTATTTTAGTGTTTGTAATGATTTTTTAAAGAATCGAATGAAAGTCCAGCAATAAACATGTAATAAATACTATACAAAATCGATTTCCAAAAGATTGCGCGTGCTAAATGCATAATTAATCACGTTTAGTGAACATTTGACTATTATTTTTTAATAATTCTTTGAATGAAATGTATGTAATTTATATCAAGAGTGTCTGAGAATTGAATGGACGTACCTGCAACAAAAAATGTACAATATCTGATAATATTCAAAAATGTTCTAGCTTTTATTCGCTAGTAGTTTTTCCCTATTTGTCATCTTATGATATTTGATGAGCTTAGAAGTGTTCATGTTATATTCCTTGTATATATAGTAGAATCGTCATAGGCATTTTCATTATCTTATTTCTAACATTTTATCACTTAATTTCAAATGGTATATACGTATAACTTGAAAGATTTGTTTTATTAAAACCAGTAGTCCATCATTATCATTTTACCTATTTTATAAAACATTTATCAATTATGGACAATTAATGGTATAAAACTGTGTTTATCGTTTATTCATAAAAAAGTATATAATTTTTTAAGAATGGCTGAACAATGATCTGTAATTTTCTTTAAACTCCAATCAACTATGCTAACTGTTCAACGTTAATTTTACAATTAAAAACTTCCCACTTTTAGATATTTATTTCCCCTGTCATTCACACGACTTTTCTAGATTAAAGTTGCATATATTTAACCACAACGTCATCTAAAGATCAAGGTAATTTCGACTTGCATAGTTCTAAAACTGTGTTTGTTTAGAACACTTCCACAAAGACAAAGATGGGCAACTGTGTGGAGCAGTTGAGTGGGTATTTACTCGCCTTGCCTGTGACTAAATATGTATAAAACACAGTTCACATAACAATCACAGCTCGGGTGTTAAGTCCAGTCCACAGTTGAGCTCAGTCTCTCAGTACAGTTCACAGTGTTCATTGCTGCTATAAACCAACTTTGTTTATGTGACCAATTTTGTCACAGGCCAACTGTGGTTGGAACTCATTGCTTTGTACCTCATCTTATATTTTTTACTCACCAGATGAAAGTAATACTGTATCGTCATTTTTTAGATTTTGTGTGAACATGTATTTGCAGTGTACTATGTATCCTCTGGCATCGTATGTTAGAAAATACTTGCATAAATAGTGGTTTATACATTTCTAGAAATCTCAAAAAATTATTTAAAGTCGTTTTAGAAATTTTTCCTGAGGTGGTGGGGTTATAAATATACTTTCAAAGACAATACCTATGTCCAAGACCACTATTCCTATTATTATGTTTAAAGACAAACGACGAAAAATTGTCTGAAAAATATTCTCTCATCAATTTCTATAAAGAATTTAACAAATACTACCCCAATTCAAATTAGCTTCAAAAGTCAAGTAATGTGGCCTAATATTTATGGCTTTATTTTTGCCTATGGAATAAACTAGACATCCCGTTCCCAAATAAAAGTTGTTGATCTAAATTCACTTCGTAGTGGTTGAATTGAGCTAAGATAACACATTTGTATTTCTGTCAAATTAGCAATCTTTTAACGAAACCAATTGAAAAGATAAACTTATTGTACGTTACAGCATGTTGCCTCATCAAAATATCATGTACCTAACAATAACTAAACGAGAAAATCAAATAACAAAAGCAGCTGTTTCTCATATATGTACTATTTAATCTTACAAATTGGCTACAACCGGTCCATATAATTGCGACATCTACTTTAGTCATTTGTGTAACCCTTATATTTTCAACATTTATAGGTACAACTACCTTTTACACTACCTTTTAGCTTTGCTTTAAGTACGGCTAGGCCTATATATAGCTTTGCAGCAATTTGTGAATTTTCACCCTTCCTTACAAATAACTCCCCTTACTCCATGGTCAGATGTTCGGAGGTTTCAGCGTCCTTGAGGTCAACAGAGCGGCTTGAAGAGATAGGACAAGTAGACTTTATCCTGGACATAATCCTTCAAGGTTCATTGCACAGATCACTGAGTAGCCAATGGCTGTGCGTACCTTGGCTCAAATTATGTCTGACAACTATAGCTCCAAAATATATTCTTATGATTGATTTTTTACTATTTAATTCAATGTGTTCTAGAAGTACATAATACTTTTGTTGGAAAAGATTGTATTTATATATATTTTAGGTGTATATTTTAAACACCTTTAGAAATTAATTAGTAATAAATAACCCATATTTGATATTGGTTTTGATATCCAATGTTGGCAATTTGATGGCAAATCATGAGTACCAATATACCAATGTTTTGGGTAGTAAATATTTCATATATACTTTCCTGATTACAATTTTAAATTTATGTTCCAACCAAAATGGACAGGATTTACCTTTACCTTGAAAATAATTTTCCTTAAACTGCAAAAACACCTTTATAAATGTATTGCTGTAGTAATAAATAATCCATTCCTGACATTGGTTTTGAAATCCAATGTTGTTGCTTTGATTCATGGGAGATGATCAATAAAGCAAATATGAATCCCAATAAGTTGGGTAGTAGAATAAGTGTTTCGCATATACTCTGCTGATTACCACTTTCAATTTATGATCTTATATATTATGATCATGAATTATTATGATCAATTTCAAAGATGTGCATGATTTACTTTGCCTTAAAAATACTTTTCCTCAAACAGCAAAATTATCTCTTTTATTCATTAAGTACCTTGATCATTATTGAACTGATTACCTCAAAGTATCTTATTAATATTTTGTGTAAGCGTTTGGAATTAATAGTAAAAAAACTTTGATTGTTTAAATGTTGCAGTAAATTGAGTGAGAGAAAAATATCAAAAACAATAAAGTTTAGAACAATATTTATGTTAAATGTACAAAAGCTGTTTCTCTTTTAGGTTTTGAATTGTAATCTTTGTTATTTGTAGTATTTGAATAACAATCTTACATCATTTTGCAAATGCATAAAACTGATATTTAAGCTTAAAACGACACTATAACAAATTAGGAGGAATAAAAACAGTTTATCATTTTGTATATAATACAACAATAGTTTATTTCATACAAAATATGTTGCTCAAATCACTGGTGTATATTCTATATTTATATACAGAAGCAATATACAACAAAATATACATGGCGAACGTAGTGGTAAGTATTTGCGTAAATATTATTCTAAGGGCTCAAGTTTTCTAACGAGATACCATTTTAAATAAATATTTACAAATTTAAATTTACATACGTATGAAATTTCACTTTCGAGTTACCCTGAAATTTTAGAGATATTTACATGAAAGGGGAGAAAATAAGCTAACATTTTACCACTTTTCAAATTGTGTACCCCTTAAAAAGTAGATCACAGACTAAATGTTTGGAAATGCCATGCGGTAGAATTTAGCAAAGATCCAAGTTAGAAATGGACTAATGTAAAAGTTAAACATTAAACAATTTGATTTAAAATACATAAGTCTAAAAAAAATATAAAAACTGGATATCTCAATAAATTCTCTACAATTACTGTATTTAAAAAAGTTAAGAATTTTTCCCATTGAATTACAACTTAACTAAATCTTAAACCAAAGCACATGTGACAATGAATATCTCAAAACAAAAAATTGTTTCTACACTTCGAAATTTTCTGGTATCAATTAGTAATAATTAATAATATTTCTATGTCATTATATTTTCAGGAACTCGTTTTGCATTTCGAAAAATTATATTAAATCAATTGCGCATGACTAGCTAGTACATAACAAAACAAATCAGAAAAATAGAGGACAATAACTAAGCGCTACATCATTGTATATACACTATTATACAAAATTCACGATGTTATTGATTTTATATTAAGCATAGAAACAGAGTTTGACAGCAATAGAAACACATTAAAATGGATGCAAATTATTTAAAATAACAAATAAAAATATAAACAACAAGGACAAAGACTCACATTATTCCTGAGTTAATATTTCAAAATATCTTTAATAATTTATTTTTAAGAAAACTAAAAAACACTTTCAGCAACTATAATAGTTAATTTAAAAAATTAAAACAACACTAAAACAACAATCTTAACCAAAAACCTAACACATTCCAACAAATATTTTTTGAATACTTTCCAATTATTATAATAATTAAATGTTTGATACAATCATCTCTTCCGACCCATTCAACAATATAGGAACGACGTGCTAGCTTACGCACCTTATGAGCATTTTAAAAGAATTTAAGAAGGCATAGTAAAAAGTACATAAGGCTGATCAGTCTTGCAAGCTTAGGTTCATCCCAGACTTTAGGAATCAAACACAAACATAATGAAATAGAGCCGAAGTCTTACGTATATAATACAGTGCAAAATATTATCTAGAACTACATATGTTTACAATAAATAATCAGCTGATTTCTAGCCTGTCAGTCTATTTACACGAGCTTAACAATGTACAAAATAATATAAATCACATAGGAGTAGATCACATGAGAAGCCAAGGGGGCAGGAGTGCTGCAGCATCTGAAACAAAAACAAACTTGTTAGTTCGGTGGAAATTATGTGTAACAAAAACAAGATTATTGTGAAAAAATTATAATTACAATTAATTCCATGCAATTTTGTAAGGTATAGAAGTGTTTTGCAACCAAAATAAAACAAGAAAATGCCTTGTAAGGCTACAAAAAAAATGCTATTAACAAACACATATTTTTTGTAACCAATAAAATTAAACGTTAATGTTATACCTATTTTTAAAATGTTATTTTAAGAAATACATTACATAGTAAAAAACTTATCATTGTAAGTTTGTTCTTTGTATAGACCTACTGTATAGATCATATACAGATATAGTATTTGATTAAAAACTTCCATTTTAAGCCCTTTCTACGACTCTAACAATATAATGGTAACTAGAATCGCCATGTTATCAATGCGTTGACATTGCATTGTTATCGACCGTATTTGAATGCTACACGTTGTGAAAGAAAGCGTTGTCGACGAGTTTTTGCAGCGTACGCTCGTTCCCTACGGACTCGACGTTGATGTTTAGTTTTATAACATTATTTGCACAAAACCTGCGTTAACGTTGCGTATAATTAGTTCCACATTATACTTTCCTGGAATCTATTACACAACGGGGTTGCCATTGTTTGTGTTAATTAAATGTTGGATATTTATTTAGATTAGTGTATAGTTTGTTTACACAAAAATGTAATATGAGTTTGACTTTTGAGGATTACATTTTGATTTAGTTGGTTATGATGTATCGATAGTAATTTTAGAATCGTAGATAATATTGTAGTTAATTATTGTTTTATTTAAAAGGAAACAATTAGTAAATCATTATTTTTTTCAACATTGGAAATATTTTACTATATATTTTTTTTTAGATAAGCTGTACAACAGTTCTATTAACTTTTAAAGCACAAATCGTTTACATTTAGTTCATCACGGATAAGTAATAGGCCGAAGACACCACTTTCACTATTAATTTCCCCATTTCCAATTCCCCCAGAGGTGTTTCATCCCCATTACCCTCGGGTGACTAGGGGATGCTAATTCGGGTGGTTTTTGGTCTCACATCACCTCTATAAGCCCTCATTAATAAACATCTCGCACTTCGAGGGAGAATCATCCTTACAAGTCCCTAATGTAACAACCTAACGCAAACATATTGCCCTTGGTAAATTCAATTCTAGCGATAAAGGGGGGTTAATTTCGCCTGTGTGTTTTGTGTTTTGCGGCCGGATGATTTAGTAAGACTGGCCGCAAGACGGTACAGGGAATTAATTGACTTCCCCCCCCTTTTGACTCCCCCTTCCTTACAACGACCCCCCCTTCCTTACGGCACCCCCCTGGACTTCTTCTCTTATTGCCTGCGTCTCCTCTCGTAATGTTTAGTTAAAATGCAGTACAGCCCGCTATATTAGTCTCTATAAAAGTTCGCTTATTGCCGCTTAACTCTGGTACAAATTGCATCTTTGTTGGGGGAATTTTTATCGTGTAAAGAAGTTTCGCAATTTTGGGGGTTTAGTGTTAAAAAGCCATCCGATAATGGACACTTTGTAATGATTACGATATTTTAAACTCATTTCTTGTTTCTCGTACTTAAATAATATTCAGGTTTAGGTTGAATTACGTTTTGCTAAATAAATCCAAAAAGGAGTATAATTCCTTTTTATGTCCCACCTTCACATCCTAGATGCTCTAACCCAGTAATGTTTTACAAATTATACTCTGTAGTCTGTATGATGTAACATGTCTCCTACCTCCGTCTAGGGACTGGCCAATGGTTTGAGGCCCGGGCCATTCCCAGGTAGAAAAGGGGTCAGTAGACAGGCTCATTCATACAGAGTATAATTTATTATAGGCCTTGAAGATCAGTTGGTGATTGGTAGGATATGAACTCGAGACCTCGGGGACCAAAGCCCTTTGCTATACCACTAGACCAGCTTGCTCCCAACAAGTAAAATATTCTACTAAAATCGTAACTATTAAAATTTAACTACGAAATTAAGCAAAAGTTCAAACATAAAGCACTATTATGTGTTCCAAATACATGTAAACTATTCTAAAACATTAATGTTAAAGTTCTACACACATGCTGTTTCGTTAGAACAAGTAAACGCATTAGGGAAATACACCCAAGACTCGGCAAGCATTAGCAACAAAACGCATAAAGTCAATTAGTTGCCCACAAACGGTCAGAACTCCACCAAGTTTCCCTTGCATTACATCTTCACATGAGCTCCGGAGAGTACCAAATCTTTATTTGGAGCTGTTATCTTAGAGTAACCGAGAACGGAGGAACGGTGATTACTGAAGCTACGTTCCCTCTGTAACTGTTCCTTATAATTATTGTGACTTGTCGCCGTGAACTAATTGTTCCAGTCTGTTCAACTTTGCTCCCTTGTAATTCAAGTTATTTTGTTGCTTAGTTCTGTTACATAGTTACTCAAGTTTTTCCATACATTATTTCTGTTAATGTTAATCTTTATGACTGTTGAATTGGTGATAAAGTAAAGTAATTCTTCGTTTAGTTTTGCGTTGATAAAAACAATTATAATATAACGTCGCGAGAAAGGTCCTAAATTTATTTTAGATGTATTTGTATTTCGACTACGCTTTATTCAGTAAATTTCCTGTATTTAAACAATAAATAATTTTTTCCCAAAACTTAACCATCAGTTTAGACTAATGTTTAGATAACATTTAGCATATTTAGCAGTTATAGTTAACAGTATGGTAGCGATTAAACTCCTAACATCCACATAAACTTTGCTACAACACATATCAACTTTGACTTTGTGTTTTACACAAGAATAATTACAACAAAAAACAACTAATATCGGTGAATTCCGATAGCCGCGAAAGAAAAGTTCCGAAGAAATATTAAGAAACATCAGAACAAAACATTGGTGGATCAAGAGGGTTCGAAGGTTATTGGATAACTTTTATATGAAAAACTCCGGATTAATTCTGACCAAATGAAATGATGACGTTCATCCCTAATCCCCTGACAGCGTGACAAAAACCGAACCGCGTCTGTCTGTCTGTGTGTCTGTGTATTTGTGTATTGTGTTTGTATTTGTACATGTCTGCGGTTACTGGATAACTGGAATATTTGAACAAGAGGAATACTAAACGACTACCACGCAAAACACTTGTGTAAATACTGTTCATGATTGCTATGTTTAAACAATTATTAAATAAATTGTATTTATTATTTTAACTAATGTTAAACTAGGCTGTAGGACCGAATACAAAACAAATAATGAGATAAAGTACGTTTTATGTTAATGAAAACATTAGTTGGGTTTACGTTGTAAATATTGTGTTTTCAAATTGTGAAGTAAAACATATGTATAGCTGCCTGCATGTCTACACAGCCTAATTAAACAAATAAATATGTATGTCCTGTTTTAATCCCTTAGGTTGTTGAACAAATTTAAATTTAGTGAATGATTCAACCAAGTAGTATAAATATTATACGTAACTTCTAACACAATTTCTCATTTTTACGAAGAGTAGGGCTATTGAAAGTTTCTAAGAAGCGTCACACACAGGCTGTGTCGCAATTCTATCCTCGGGCGAGACGGGCACTTTATCACCAGCGCCGTCTTGCGCTCACTATCACGTAGAAAATTTAAATTGCCAAATAGTCTGTTCACGGGAAGAAGAAATATTCGGTACGTGAGCGGCGTACGTAGTGACTTGCGGACGACGATGTTCCCTACTAATTTCTGAAACTCTAATCAGCTGTTACACCTCCCCCACCCCTCTTTTGGCTACATTACACCCTGTTTTGTAAACAAGAAGCTGTAAGGTTCTTCAGTTGTCATTTCCCCCTTAAGTGGGAGGCTTTTGTTTAACGTGTTCAAGTCGGAGAGCGGATTAGGGTGAAATTATGCTAAGTTGGATTTGAGTAAAAGGATTTGGTAGGGGATGAGATTTAAATTCATGCTCATGTACGTAGTTATTAATATCACGATTTACATATACAAAAAGGAAATCGTTTTACAACTAAAGACACATTGGATTGAAAATATATAACCATGTAACCGATGAAAATAAATCCTTACTTTTTCATCCAATATAAATTGCAAGGCCAACATTTGTAAAATCGAAATATTAAACCACAATCGGAGCTGACTAATCCTACAGAACGTATAAATTCAGTTAAAACTGTCGAACCGAAATCGACTCCAATATGTAACCGGATCGCAGCGTTTCGTCGCAACCGCGTAAAAACGACGGTTTTCACCATTAACGATAAGCCGTGTATTAACTTGTTCGCTTTAGACGGTCGGGGACAACTTTTTTAATCGCGGCGCTGTCCGTCACTCAGGGTTTAATCTGGGGGGTAATTTCGTAGTCGCCTCCCCCCCCACCCCAACCGAAATGAACAATGAATATGTCTGTTTTTTGTGAAACAGTGAAAAGACCAAAGTTTGTGATTTTTAAACACTTATTTCAAAACCACATCTTAATTTGTATCTGTTGCCAAAAAATGTAGCTTTTTATTCCCCAAAGTGGTACTTGAGGTACTTTCTGAGAGTTTGTAACAGTCATTAGATAGTTAAAATACCATTCAGTACCATACTTAAATTCCTTAATTTCACTTTTTTCAGTTTTTCAACTTTTTACAAATATTCTGTATGCATATTTTGTGGAACACTGCATTTAAATAAAATATTATACTTAAACCTCCATAGTAAAAAAAAATCTTCTAACTAACAAACTACCACTCAAAATCAAACCCCAGACCACTACAACATACGCCTTCATACAACATCCCGCCATGAATGATGAAACATGAAACCTCCGCTAAACAAAGTGCAATTAATGCAAGTACAATAGCTGAGTAAACAGTTGAAACTTTTTCCCAGAAAGACGTTTAGCTGAGATGATTCCGCGAACGTGGAAGAGGAAGATTACGAGTAATGACATAGGAGATGGTCTCGGTCTTGAGAATACAGCGACAAAAACGCGGGTCAGGCGCTGCGCGGCGCTCCACGACC